ACAGTTGTCAAACTTTATTAAAATTTCTAATTTGTGTAATTAAATATGCTTGCATACATTTAATTTAAAGGTATATTTTACCTTTTCTCAGTCAAGCAGATTAAATGATTAGGTTTTTTTTTTTTTTTTTTAACATTTTTTGGTATAGGGTGAGTTTGTTTGCCAGAGAGACAGAAAGCGAGAAATCACCCCCCAGAGGGGTGGTCATGTTATAATCATTTCTTCTCCATTCTCCTCTCAGGATCTTGGGCATGCATGCACATATACCCAGTGGGAGTTTTAAGCTGCTGAGTCCAGGACTCAAACCTCAGTGGACTACACAGGAGTCCAGTGAAGTACCCATTATGCTATCTGCTTGTCCCTATTTATTAGATTTTTAATCTTGAGATGATGATAAAAGGAAGGAAGAAAGGAAGGAAAAGAAAAAGAGACACAATCTTCGGGACTCCTCTATCTTATATTATTACAGAACAGAGTTTTAATTTAATACTAAAAGCTAAGACCTTTCTAAAAACCATTATTTTGCCTAGAATTTTTTGTTTTCATTTTTAACAACTGACTCAATTAGGATATCCATAAACTAGCCGGTTTATCTATTTTCTCTTTAGTATAAAGTCAGCTTAAAGTAAATTAAATGAGCTGAAATAAAATAAAATTATAAGGAAAAGGAAAAAAGCAGGGAATATATATTTTAGATGAAGAATTTTAGGTAGTAAAGACATCAAAGCAAATATTTATGGGCTTTCTCTATGCAGTTGGAGACAAAAAAAGTTTACCTTGGCTGACAAGAAACTTACTTATCTAAATCCTATGTGTCACATAAATTACATACAAATTGCAAAGTCTGAGTATTAAGTATACTGAATGATCAGTGTAATAAGCAAAGCAGTATATTTTTTATTCAGGTGGTATGACAGAAGCAGAAAGGAGAAAACTCATGAAGTCATCAAACATAGGAAAACAAACAAACAAACAGGAGCTGCACTATTAAGGTTTAGCCTAAAATTCAGGTCTCTGTGATGCCTCTGACTTGATTTTTTTTCTGGTCTTCTACTATAGAATGATGGCCTAACTGCTAATTTAATACAAAAAGTTACGTGTAATTTTTACATACTGAGAAACTCCTGGCTTTTGATTTTGAATTTTAAAATATTAGATACGCACAGCAATCAGGTTTAGTAAAATGAAAAGTAATGACTGTTAGGGGCCAGTAGGTGGTGTAGTGGTTAAGGTGCTGGGCCCCCACATGACTGAACCAGGTTTGAACTCCAGACCTAGTAGCTTGAGAATCACACAGGGTACATTTTCAAAGTCCCAGGAGGAGAATGGAGGAGGAGTGATAGAGACATGTCCATTCTCCCTGGAGGGTGATTTTTTATTTTCTGTCTCACTATCTTTCTCTGTTTCTCTCTGGCATATGGCAAAAATTTAAGCAAAATAAAAAAAGGGAATGATTGCTATACTATTAGTTGGGAGAATGCTGATCAGGTCATTATGTGAAAAACAATTCAAATCAATCACTTTTAGGTAGCTTTGTACCCATGGCGCAAAATATATTGGTCATGTCTTTTTCTGTTGCAGAATTCTGTGCAGTGGAATAGCCACTTTGCAAATGTTCATTAAAAAAGAGGCCCACCACAAATAGCATCACATGGGAAAACATTTAATTTATTAACTAATAAAGGTAATAGTAATTTTAATATCTTTTTGAATTTTCTGAGTTTTTTTTTCCCCCCTAGGCTTTTGCCATAGAGCACATGGGCTTGCTGGAGAAAGAGAAGTAGTGAGAAGGGAAAGTGAGAATCACTGACTAGCCTAAGAGTTTGTTAATTTAAAATAGTGAGTAAGGAAGGCATGTCATTTTACTGAATAAATGTAGAGTAAATGGTAGTAGCTAGCTACACAGCAAGAGCTCCTGGTGTAATTTTTACCCTAATATAAACACACAGACACAGATATTTTACATGCATGTGGTATTTGAGCCAGTTTTGACAATAGCAGTATTTTTTTTTTTGAGTGGTTTTTGCCATAGGGCGCATGCGCTAGCCAGCCAGACAGACAGAGACAGAGAGACAGAAAGTGAGAAATCACCCCCCAGGGGGGATGGCCATGCCGCAATCCCATCTCTTCCATTCTCTCCTTGGGATCTTGGGCATGCACACACAAATGCCCAGCATGAGTTTTAAGCCACCGGGTCTGGAACTCAAACCATGGTCAACTACATGGGAGTCCAGTGACACAGCCATTACGCTAACTGCTGGTCCCCTGCATTAGCAATATTTTCTAAAAAGAAGCAGTCTTGCTTGTATTGCATTCACGCTGAAAACAGGTAAAGTTCCAAACATCATGTGAAAATCCTGAGAAAGTAAATTAGTTCATCTATTTTGCAAGACAGGAAATGAGAAATAGAGAGAGAAAGAGAGAGAGACAGGGAACACTGAGGATTAGTCCAAATTCCAGGTCTAAGGACCAGCAGTTAGTGTAATGGCTAAGTTGTTGGACTCCAACATAGTCAATGGCGGTTCGCGTCCTGGACCCGGTGGCTTAAAACTCACGCCAGGCACGTGTGCATGCGTGCACAAGATTCTGAGAGGAGAATGGAGGAGAAGGGATTGTGGTGTGGTCATCCCCCCTGGGAGGGTGATTTCTCGCTTTCTTCTGTTTCTCTGTCTTTTTGGCAAGCCCACGCGTCCTATGGTTAAAAATATTTAAAAAATTAAAAAAAAAAAAAAACAAGAAAACAAATTCCAGGTCTATGTTAGTTTGAATTAACTTTCTGTCCCTTCATAGAAAGTATGGAATCTTCTATCATCACAGGTCAGATTCACATTTACCTTATGTAAAATAAAATAGAAGATATTGAAGTATGATTGGTTTATTCAACTGTCTGGTTTCAGACACGACAGGAAAATTGGCTTTAAAAAGAATAAAACACTTTCTGACAGATAATGGAACCACATATAAGAACTTTCCATTTTTAACATTGTCTTTTTAAAAATTGAGGTTACTGGGGGCCAATGGGTGGCATGGTGGTTAAAGTGCTTGCCTCCCACATGACTAGCCACAGTTCGAGTCCCAGACCTGGTGGCTTTCTCTCTCTCTCTCTCTCTCTCTCTCTCTCTCTCTCTCTTTGGTGAGTGCACATGCCCTATAGAAAATTTTACAAAAATAATAATAATTGTTTAAAAAATTAAATACATAGTTCTTTAAACATAAATCAATAAATTAAAATTGAGATTTTGAATACTTTCGGCCCCAGATGCTAGCGACATTTTTTCTGCCTTCAGTTGGAATTATTCTCTTTCTTTTTTTTTTTTTTTAATTTTGCCCACCTATTTTCCCCTTGACAATATCCCAAACAGGATCCTGATATCACAATCTATCCCTGATCTTCACTCAGTCCCAATCATGGGCTAGCAGGTGCACAGTGTGCTCATAAAGTCTCTGAACTTGAACCAGGAATTTCCCCATGTGATATTGCCTTGAATAGAACCATATGTTACTACTATGCTGTTAACTAGCTTCACAATTATTACTTCTGAATTGTAAAACTAGGAAAGAACGGATATATAAAGGTGCACATAAACAGGCTTCTTTTATTACAGAGTTATGAGACTGTGTTAGGAAACATTATACTGGATAGTTTTCATTGTTTCTATGACTGAGAGCTGATTAGAGTTATAGTATCTGCTGAATCACAGAAATGGACATATGTGACCATCTTCTTTGGAAAGGAAAAAGGAGAGTCAGGGAAATCATAAAGGAGATCATTTTTTGTGCTATGTCTTGAAACGTGAAGATCCAGAAAAAGAATGATGAGAGTTCGTGAGTCAAACCACTGGCTACATAAGAAAATTATGTGTTTTTAATATGCAAGTTCTAAAAAGTAAAATAAAGGAGGATAATATTGTAAGATTTAAGTTCAATTCCTCATCAAAAACCATACAGTGCAAAGGAAAGCAAAATTATTCCTTCAGCTTTTTAAAATGATTTCCATTTGGATGACAATAAGTCTTCTGATGAATGATATGTATTAGGATCATACAAAGTATATTTTATCCCATCCCAATCAGTTGAACACTTATTGTTCACACTTACATAGTTACTAACTGTAAAGCAAATTCAGTTTTGCTGGGAAAAATATGTCAGCTAAAATTACCACGCAGATAAACTGAAAGTTTTGAGCTTACTTAACTCAAGCTGCAGCTACCAGTAAAATAGATATGTATGGTTATTTGCCAAGAAATTAGGAAAAGATGTTCATCTTGCCCTAGTTCTTCAAGGATAAACTGCTTAACTATGCAAAGATAAATAATCTGAACATGTTATATTCAATAATTATACATAATACCTCGTTCTTAAGCCCAGAAACTTCCACTCCATAACTCTGGAGGTTCTTGCTCTGTGTTTTAGCCTACTATTTTTAAACCTGTAGTTTGCTTCCATTATTCCCTCAGGATTCTAGATTTCATGCTCCGATTAAAAGTATCTGACTTGAGTACTTCTCCAAGAACTAAGTTATGATGTTTCTCTCTGGTTGTCTGGAGGGGAGACATAGTGTCTGAGTCCAACCTAGACATCTTCTGGCTCAGAATACTCCACATTACTTCTCTCCTAGAAATTCAACTACCATTCAATCAAGAAGCCCTAAAGCCCAGTAGAAGATGCAACCAACCCTTTTGTCACTCAGTCTTTCTCTGTCTCAGTTATTTCTATATTAGAACTTATACTGATGATCAAGGTGTCAAAATGTGGTATTTAGTTACTTTTTTAGCTTTTAGGTTTTATGGAATATGTACATTTTATAAAGGGCCATGGTATTATCCAAGATGTTTAGAACATATGGCCCAACTCCACTCTCAGTAAAAACCTCATAACAGAATGAAAAGCAACCAAGATGAATACAAGCAGATTTTGTCATTTCTATTTTCCCTTAGAGTCCTGAAATTCCATGTCTGGTGATTCTAAATGCAGAAGGAAAACAAGAACATTTTACAAACTTACAATTTACAAATTTTGTGTATGGAAGCTTTGACCTCCTTGTTTCTCAGACTATAGATGAGAGGATTCAACATGGGAATGACCACAGTGTAAAACACAGACACCACTTTGTCCTGGTCCATTGAGTAGCTGGAGCTGGGGCGCAAATACATGAACAAGATTGTCCCAAAAAATATGGTGACTGCCAACAAGTGGGAAGCACAGGTAGAAAAGGCTTTGTGTCTTCCTTCTGCAGAATGGATCTTCAAGATGGCAAGGAGAATGTAGAAGTAGGAAATGAGAATCATGAGGAGACAACTGAGTTCATTGAAACTGGCAAAAGCAAAAATAACAATCTCATTGATATGTGTGTCAGAACAGGATAGTTTCAGGAGGGGTGGGGTGTCACAGAAAAAGTGATTGATGACGTTCGAGTGGCAGAAGGACAGCCGGAAGGTGAAGCCCGTGTGAATGGCAGCATTAATAAAGCCTGCGAGGTACGTAGCCAACACCAGGAGGACATTGAGATGGGGGGACATCATGACAGTGTAAAGAAGGGGCTTACAAATGGCTACATAACGGCCATACGCCATCACAGCCAACAGGAAGCCCTCAATGCCAGCGAAGGACCCAAAGAAGAAGAATTGAGTGGCACATTCATTAAATGAAATAACTGGGTTTTTTGCCCAGAAATTTACCAACATTTTAGGCACAATGACTGAAGAATAACAGAAGTCGACAAGGGATAAGTTGCTAAGGAAAAAGTACATCGGTGTGTGGAGGTGAGAGTCAATCTTGATTAACAGGATCATACCGAGATTTCCAAAAACGGTGATCATATAGATGACTGAAAACACCACAAAAAGAAGACACTGAAGTTCTGGATGATTCCTGAATCCTAGGAGAATGAATTCGGTCACTGTTGTGTGATTGTTCATCCCTTTGTCTCAGAATGGATGATTCATTTGCTGGGATAGGAGAGAAATCAATGAAATAAAGTGTACAAAAAAATGATCTGAAAATCAAGTAGTTTATTCCATGCTGTAATATTATTCCTAAATTATTTTGAGAACATGTGTATTAAAACTCCATAATTGCAGTAAAGAAGGAAAAAAATTCCTTATGAAATCTCAGTAACCCATTTTATTACAATGAATACATTTAACCGTGTGTGTGTGTGTGTGTGTGTGTGTGTGTGTGTGTGACCTTTGATGATTGAAACTTACCTTTATTTTACCATAGCCTCCTATTTTTTTAAAGAGCTTTTTGCTTTAGGGCATATACACTCACCGGAAAGAGTTGAAAGAGAGAGAGAGAGAGAGAGAGAGGGAGAGAGAGACAATGATAGGGAAAGTTTGAAATCACCATCCAGGGGGAATTGCCATGCAGCAATCCCTTCTCCTCTATTTTCTCATAATCTTGGGCTTGCTTGTACACATGCTTAATGTGATTTTCAGGCCACCGGGTATGAGACTTGAACCGTGGTCAACTGTGTGTGAGTCCAGTGACATAATCAATATGTCATCTTCTAGCCCTAAATGCTACCCTGTTTACCAGCATGTTTCTCTTCCTCCTCTGAGTCTACTGACTTCACCACCCATAAATACGTTTGTTTGCATTCCCTTTCCCTTGACAATTAAATGTATTGACATAGTTGAATATATTTATTGTATTCAATTCCACTTTTCCTGTTTCTCTCTGAAGGCCACACTAATCATCCCATAGAAACTACTCTTTCGAATTCATCACTTCATTACTAAATTCAGTGCTCAATTCTCAGTTCTTAATCTTCTTGATCTATCTGTAACATTTGATATTGTTGATTGCTTACTACTCTTTAAATAGTTCATATTTCAGGACACCAAACTCTGTTTTTTTCTCTCCTACCCATTGGTTTTCTCCTTCTCAGTTTTCTTCTTTGTTTTCTTCCCTGGTCCTTGATATTAGAATAGCTCAGTACTCAGCCCTTAATCCAAGTTTTTCTTCTATTTAAACTCTGATATTATTCAGTCTTACAGTCTTAAATACCATTTACATGTTTACTACTCTTGAATTTATATGTTCTACCCTAAGCTCTTTTCCAAATTTAGGCTTATCATTCAAATGTTTACTTAAAAAAATTTCCAAAAGGCACATGTGCTTGCAAGAGAGAGAGGGAAACTTAGAAATCACCCCCTAAAGGGCATAACCATACTGCAAAGTCTTCTCAACTTCTCCTCTACACTTTTGGCATTTGGGACATGCCTGATGTGTTTTTCAATCAACTGAGTCTGGGACTCAAACTGTACAATCACCTATGTGAAATCCAATTTCCTTAACCAGCATGTTATAAGAGACTCTGTTACTTACTTATACTTCACAAAGATACTAAGTAACAATTTGACATAATTTAAGACCTTATATTGTTCTTAATATATTCAGATAAAAATAAACACACATAACTATTACAGAAATTATATCACCTCTTTCTCACATACTCCAAAACCAATCCATTAGATAGTTCTTTTGATTCTGTATCCGTAAGCCAACTACCTCCTACCGTATTTATTTCTATCACTAGCTAGTTCCAAGCCAACATCATGTTTCACTTAGATTACTGTGATAGTACTTTCTTTTTTAAAAAAGAATTATTTAATTTTATTTATTCAGTCATTTTATTTTTAATTTGACCAGACACACACACACACACACACACACACACACACACACACACACACAGA